AAAACTATTCCAGGGAGATCTGATAGAGTGTAGCAGCTATGAGGCCCGTTAGGAAGCCACCTCTTGATGTTGATAAAAAGGGCAGGATTAGTGAATGGCAGGGTATATAGAAATAAAACCATTAAATGTTGATATTGGACTCAGGAGATAGGGAAAAAGAGGAAGCAAAGCCAACACTGAGGGTTTGAGACGGGGTGACTGGAGGTAAAGTGTAGAGACCCAAAAGAAAGGAAAGCCAAGCTTGGCTGATCCTGGGTCTGGGCCCAAGACAAAGGACTGGAGATGGGGATTTTTCAAGTAAAGTATGTTATTCAAGGGAGGAAACTGAGAACAAAACCCTGAAGAATGACGTCTTTTCCTGATAATCCAAAAAGTACTTTGAGGCATTAAAGTATTTTATTAAGAGAAATAATCATTTTATAGTTCTTAGATGTAGAAGGTACAGAAAATTTTTAATGTATTCTGACATTATGATATAATCTGCAGGATGGTTTTCAAAATAAATTATTTATATGCATTATAAAATGCTCATATCCTTTGACCCAGCAATTCCCTGGCTGCTGACTGCTGAGGGTGGTGGTTGCTGAAGGGTGGGATGGCCGTAGCAATTTCCTATAATAAGACAATTAAGCTTGCTGCATTTATTGACTCTTTCTTTCACGAAATATTTCTCTGTAGCATGTGATGCTGTTTGAAAGCATTTTACCCACAGAACTTCTTTCAAAATTAGAATCAATCCTCTCAAACCCTGCTGCTGCTATATTAACTAAGAGTGTAATATTCTAAATTCTTTGTTGTCATTTCAACAAATGTTCACAGCATCTTCACCAGGAGTAGATTCCATCTCAAGAAACCACTTACTTTGCTTATCCATAAGAAGCAACTTCTCTTCTGTTAAAGTTTTACCATGAGATTGCATAGCTCAGTCATATCTTCAGGCTCCATCCCTACGCTGGAGTATCGTGGCGCGATCACAGCTCACGGCAGCGTCGAACTCCTGGCTCAAGCGATTCTCCTGCCTCAACCTCCCCAGCAGCTGAGACTATAGGCATGGGCCACCATGCCCAGCTGATTTTTTTTTTTTTT